GCAGTAATAATATTTCCTACATCACTAAATAATCTTTCAGAAGCAACAGATGTAGCTGAGATGCATAAAAATTTTTTTGCCAATTTTGTTAAAATGGGAAAATTATTTTTGTTTCCATTCCACCATTTAAAAGGATCAATATCATTCCTTACATTACTAGAAAGATAATGTGATATTTCATTATAATTACCAATCACATCATTATCAGGTTGCAATATTTGTTTTAAAATAGAAACATTATTCAAATCATAATCACTAAAGTGTTGCCAAATGAAACTCTCACAAGGCCTACCTCTCTTATAATGATTTTTTTGGCTGGTAGTGGTCAATGACTTATTTGGTAATGGCAAAATGGATGATAAGGTTTCAGAATTGGTTATTGGATATCCTTCATATTCTTCATAAACTTGAGTTGGCTCTCATCTTCTAATGTTAAATCAATTGAACCATTCATATTTGAAAGTTGAGAAATTCAAGAATGAGAAAGAGTTATTTTATAAATGAAAATGTTTCTATGAGAAAGAAAACACTTTCTATAAGAGAGAGTAAATGAAAATGTTTCTGAAAAAATATCTAAATTGTTGTAGCAATATAAGTTATTTTTTTATTATCTTTAAAAAATTTTTATTAGATAATATGGGGCATGCTGCAACAAAACCAGACAAAGTGAACACTAGTATTACCAAGAATTTCAGGGATCAAAATTTAGTCATTTGTAATGTGATTATAATTATTAACAGTTTTATAATATCCCATTTGTTATCTTAAGTGATATATAGAACTATCCCTATATAAAAATAGTTAATATGAAATTAATTTACAATCAGATCTACTATGGAACCCAAGAATTACAGCACCATTAGAAGTATTTTGAAGAAAGAACAAGGGGAAAAAATTGCACCTTATATTTTTAAATTAGCAGATACAGAACCACAAAGAACCCAGAAAAAAAGAAAATCAGTAGAGAAATAATTTGCTGTCTAATTTTAAAATAATATAATGAATATATTTATCTTTTAAAGATTAAAGATATTAAAAAAAGATTTAGTAAAAAAGAATTAGTATGAGTTGGTTTGACTTCCTTAGGTTTTACTTCAATTATTTGTCCTTGTTTCTTTTTTAAGTGAATTTTTCTCACTTATCTTTTTTGTAAACTGTAGTAGTTTGTTCTTTTTCCTTGGCAATGCTGGTAAAGATTTGTTGGCTAAATGTAGTTCTTGTTTTAGTTTCTGGATTTCTTGGGCTTGCCAACTTATCTCCTGATTCTTAACTGTTTCTAATTGCTCTAATTTCTCAGCTAATTGTCTTTCTCTTCATTCTTGGGCTACTTCTAAGGCTTCAAGGTGAGTTTCAGCATCTAATCTTGCCTCTTTAGTTTTTTGCTTTCAATTTTCAATAATTTCAATAGTTTTAATTATTTTGTTATTTCTCTCTTCATTTCTTAATTGATTAATGAATTCTTCTTTTCAATTATCTTTATTTATTTTTATTTCTTCATCAGTTGGCTCATAATATTTTGAAACTACTTCAGCAATGTTATTTTCAAGGTTTTTATAATCCTTTTCAATTCTTTCTTTTTCCTAATTAATTTATACTTTTCTACTTCTAAGTTTCTTTTTGTAATCTCAATTTTGTAATTATTAAATTATCAATTATACCATCTTTATATTCATCTGTTATTAGACATTTATTCTTAATCAACTCCACTAACATTTCTTCTAGTTCTTCAGCTTTCTTTTTTAATTGTATTAATTTTTGATTATTTTCAGGTGCTGGAATTCCTTTTACTACCATAATATATTATTTTAATAAAATTTTATATTGGTTTTGGGCAAGTAATATCTTTAAATTCATTCCTTAAAAATGGGTGAATATTATGATAAAGATACTCTTGCCTTTTATAATCCAAAGGAGGGGGTGTTAACGCTAAAATAGATAAAGATTTAATTTCTTCAAAAATATCTGCTTTCTTGGTTTTCAATAAATTGGACTCAACAAAAGGTCCATTAGCAACTTCTTGAACTTTCACTGTACCAAAATTAGATGCTTCAAAAAGAAAATGTTGATACTTTTGTAAACCATTTAGTTTCTTAAAATAAATTCCCAAAATAGCTT